TCGCTTTCCGCTTTCGAGAGAGAGACTATACATTGCTACATGGATCCTTTGGTAAGAAGGGCTACTAGAAACAGAAGCATCCAAACAAATGGGACCTTGACTTTGGCACTGTTTATTGTAGGCTTGAAGCTGCTTGCGTTCATAAATGTGCGAAAGCCAGCAAAGGTGGAGAAGGATCCCTACAGATCCAGACAGTATCCCCACTGGAGGTTTGGCCACGAGCAGCCCTGGGGCACCTTCCCACAACACTATAAAGCCGTCCTGTACCCATGTAAGGTAGTACACACAGGTTGGGTGGGGGGGTTGCCTATAATGACTATATGACTATATGTGAACTTTCCAGTATGTAAGCATCCCTACAAAAATGCCAGAGTATCCGTACAATTCTCCTACCTCTCCGATATCTAACCCTATTCCCTAAACCCTAAACCCTAAGCACATTGCAAAGATAAGGGCAGCAGAAACCTGTGCAGGACAAATCCAAGGCTGTGGATGCGGCCGGCAAGGCCGGCTTGCTTCCCGGCTCTGGCGCTTAGGGTTTAGGGCTTAGGGTTTAAGGATGAGTTTAGGGTTTCGGGACGCGGTGATTTTGGACTCCACATGAGGCGCTGGTCCTTGGATTTTGTATTCTTTGTTCACAACTCTCAGTGGTTGCGTGCCTGGCATACAGAAGTCTTCTCTTAGAGCAGATGTGCATGTCTTCCAGCTGTTGGGCTGTCGGAGGATGCATTGCTTCGAATCCCCTTGCGCAGGCTTAGGCGGATGTAAGGGATCTTGCGTTTGCAGTGAAATCTGAAGATGATGTCTAAAAGCGTTGGTTGGAGATTGTAATGGATGGCAAGGGAAACTTGTCGAGCTCAGGAGTATTGTGGTGGAGGTAGGGCTATTCTTCCATCACGATTGCGGGTGCACTCCCAAAAGCCTGGAACCAAAGAAGGGGCCACTGAAACGAAGACAGTAGTCTACATAGGTCTTACTTGTGCAAGAACGCCAAGACTACGCGCGTGATTGAGGGCCCGACCTTATAGCATATACCTTTTCGCGCCTCTGCAGCCTAAGCTAGGCTGTAAGCAGTGGTCATCCAGCCCCTGAACCTTAGAAAGTTATGCGTGAATATAGATGGTCGTGTCCTTAAAGAGGGGAACCCAACATATAATACAAACCGCAAAAAATTGCACTCCTTTTTCTAGGTACCCCCAAAGAAGGTACCCCCAATTTTGGGAAACACTCATATTCGGTTTTTTGGGCCATATAGGGATGATGTAGGGCACATAGGCAGGTGGGCACTCCCCTGATGTGGGAGATACGGGAAGTTGTGAACATTCCGAATCTTATCCTCTTGAATGCGCTCCTTGAGCTACTGATGAACTCTCTACTTTGCAAGACGGTGATGCAAAACTCTGCCAAATTTGCCAGCCTAAATCGTAGGCATGAAGTTCCAGAAACAAGGCTGGAGGGTCGCACGTTGTACGTGGCGGTTGTCGCAGAAGTACCAGAACACTAGCAATTTTTTCTTGTGCTTCTAAACCTTACAATTCGCCAACTCGTCCCATTGCTCTTCATCTGCTTTGGTTAGTCACGCCTTTTGTCGTGCACAATATTCACTGAACACACTTCACTTGGGTTTTGTATCCTATAAGACGAATACGATCTTATCAAGTTGGTTCAACCACCAATCAAAAAGCTTCCCTCATCTCAGGGTTAAGCTGCACTTCTACTCCTTGCTAGCCGCCGTCGCGG